ACGATTACAAGTAGAATAGGGCGACACAAAGTCTTATCACCAATTAATCAAAGCTTTGACAAAATTTGAGAAACAGAATACCCGCAGTCTAAACAGATACACAAATAAAGACAATAATTAGCGATGCAAATGACGCCTGTAAATTACGCGTGCTTTTCAGTTACAAGGACATGGCGTTTACTTTGTCCCACTAGCGCTAAAAACTGAGCCGCTGATAAATTATAACGTCCAGACCTATTATTCAAATTCTAATAAAAAGAGAGAGTTCTCTAAGACTTGAAAGATCTCGCTATGAATCCTCAGGATATAGCAAAGCTATTTGAATCTTTTAATGAAATGATTAGATCGTACGGTTGACCGAACATTGAAATGCAACAACCACTTTTACATCTATGAGCGATGAAAGGACATGGAACAAAATTGCTTATTCGAACGCGCTATTATTACTGTTTAGCTTCATGGTATTCTATTCCACCTGTTTGGTTTCCGAAATGGCAAATACCAAATCACTTATTATGGTTTTCAATCATAACAACATTAGGAGCCATCCGCAAACCTATTTAACCGGAAGGACCAATCACTTCTTCGCGACCCGTACTTCCTGTTTCATCAATATTTTTTGACATTGGAGTTAACTTCGGCCGCTCCATTTTCGCATCTTTCTTTTTTAGAAAAGGATAGAATTTTTAAAATGTTTTCATTGTTTTGAAGCTTTCAATGTTATAAAAAAAATCTGTTTCGTAGGGTCAAAACACCAAATTACGCAAAGGCAGACCCAAAAAATTCTTGGATACGTAAGGATGGCAAATAATGACAAGTATGAAAACGGCCACCTTGAAAATTTAGGCTGATTTTGACGAGAATTTCGAACCGTAACTCAACTCTGCTACAGGTGTCTCTCTGATTTCCCTAAAGGTGAAAAGTGTTTATTTTACACTTGTTATTTTTAGCAACGCCCGCACATCACTAGACCCAATGCTCAGCTGTTGTTGTTCAAAAAGACCAATCAAAGTGTCAGCG